CAACATTGTCCCATGGGTCTAGGGCCTAAAAGTAATAACTAGAAAACAAACAAGAGGAACTAAAGTTGCCCTTTGCATCTGCTTAATTATTCTTCTATTTTTTGGGCTCCAGAATCACTGCAGATGGTGACTACAGCCTTGAAATTAAAAGACGCTTGTTCCTTGGAAGAGAAGTTATGACCAACCTAGACAACATGTTAAAAAGGAGAGACATTACTTTGCCAACAAAGGTCTGTCTAGTCAAAGCTTTGGTTTTTCCAATAATCATGTATGGATGTGAGAGTTGGACTATAAAGCTGAGTGCTGAAGTACTGATGCTTTTGAACTGTGGTGTTGGATAAGACTCTCGAGAGTCCCTTGGACACCAAGAAGATCAAATGGGTCAATCCTAAAGGAAATCAGTCCTGAATATTCATTGGAAGGACTGATGCTGAAGCTGAAACTCCAATACTTTGGCCATGTGATGGGAAGAGCTGACTCATTAGAAAAGACCCTGATGCTGGGAAAGATTGAAGACAGGAGGAGAAGGGGACAACATAGGATGAGATGGTTGGATGGCATCATTGAATCGATGTACATGAGTTTGAGCAAGCTCTGGGAGTTGGTCATGGACAGGGAAGCCTGGCGTTCCGCCATGGGGTGGCAAAGAGTTGGACACAACTGAGCGATTGAACTGAATTGAACTCAATCTGATTGTTCCATATCTGCTCTTTTAACTGCTTTTGTTAAAATGATGCACACACAGAGGGCTTCCCAGGTGGCCCAGTGGTAAAGAATCTACCTGCCAATGCAGGAGACACGGGCTCAATCCCTGATCTGGGAAGATCCAACAGGCTGCAGAGTCACCTGGGCATGTCCAACTCTTTGTAACCCCACGTGTTACTGAGTCCAAGCTCGCTCTGCTCGCCGCTTGACAGGCCAATGAATCTGAGAGACAAGTTGTTGAGGCAAGGGAAGGACTTTAGTTGGAAAGCCAGCTGACCGAGGAGATGGTCGGGTAGTGCCTCAAAATACCCATCTTGTCAGGGTCTGGTTGCCAAGTTCTTTTGTAGAGTCAGAGGGAAAGAAACAATGAGGAGCTAGAGTCAAAAGGCAGAATAGAGAGGGAGAGGCAGTGGGAGAGTAAAGAGAAAGGGTATTCAGTCTTGCAAAGCATCTCCAAGGGAATGGTCAGCCTTTGGAAAGGGGTGTTCATTTCTTCTATTCACAAGTGGGCAGGGACAAACTATCTCTCTTTGAGCTGAACAAAGGTACTTTAGTTTACAATCAAGCAGAGAGGCATGGTCCTCTGAGGCAAGGTATTAAGTATGATTATAATAACAAAAGCAACAAAAATCAAGTCAAAGAAACAATTTCCAACATGGAGTCAGAGTTGGCTTCTCTGTAACACATGGACTGTAGTCCGCCAGGCTCCCCTGTCCAAGGGATTATCCTGGCAAGAATGCTGGAGGGAGTTGTCATTTCCTCCTCCAGGGGATCGTCCCCACCCAGGGAATGAACCCCCGTCTCCTACAATTCCTGCATTCAGGAGGATTCTTTACCATCTGAGCCATCTTGGAAGCCCAACTAAGCCCATGTGGAGTAGTGCCCACTTGCCACAGCTAAAGAAAAACCCATGCAGCAACGAAGACCCAGTATAGCCCAAAACAAATAAATAAGATTATTTTTAAAAATGATACATACACAGAGTTAAAATAATCCAAACAAGACCAAAAAGTATGAGAATCATCTGAAATCCCACCACCTGTGAGAACTTCAACTGTTTGATGACCACCCTCCATAAACACACACAGTGTTCATGTACCATTAGACATGATTATGCTGCTCCGTGAGCTGGCGTGCTGTGTGTTACAGGAGTCCTTGTTACTCTTTGAGAGGACATTGTTATTACTCACATGTAAAACAAGAAATAAATAATCCTGCTGACAGTTTACACGCTTGCACTTCTTTGTACTAAAAAGCAGTTGTACCTTCTTGATGCCATGGAAACTTGAGTCTGGGAGGAGACCTCCAAGCTCAGTTCGAATCACTCCTCCTCATTAAGCTGTAAAGTGTAGTGCTACACAGCTTGGGAAGCACCTTTATGTTACTTTGTTATCACAAAATGAGGTGATGAGAAGTGAGACAAGTAATCAGTGCGATGAGAGTCAGGACTCTGCCTATGCAAGGCACTGATAACAGTCAGGGTGGTGTTTACTGAGAAGCTCTATGCCAGGCTCTGTGCGAGGTCCTCACATGGTTTCATTATCCCCATCTAGAGAGAATTCGCCTGAGGATCAGAGAAGTCACATGTCCACAGCAGACCCTGGCGGGATTCTAGTCCAGACGTGTCTGGCTTGAGCCTCCCCTTGGGCAGCACTTGACAAAACTCTGACCTCGATGTCATCTCTTCTTCATGGAGGAGGGAACCATGGCTGGGGTGAGCCACTTGCCTCAAGTCCCAGGGCCAGGATTCTAGCCATTTGCTCTAAGCTGCTGCCTCCCTGACAGGATCAGTCCCTTTCCTGGGCAGAAGAGGTCTTCTTTCAAGTCTTTGGAGAAGGGGTTCTTATTAAGATCTTTCGGGGACTTCCCTGGTGGTCCAATGGTTAGGGCTCTGCAGTGATCAGGGAACTCAGATTCTGCAACCCAAGTAGTACAACCAAAAAAAAAAACACCTTTACAAATTCCTTCCTGCTGCATTGCAACTTCTGTCCCTTCTTCAGAGGGAGCAAAGGTTGACCTCGGGCAGAGAGGCAGAGAGACTGGATTGTCACCATGCTCAGGCTGCAGTCTTGAGCTCGGAGCAGGCCCAACCCATCCCTCTGTGGTAACTTTCTTGTGCTTTCAGTGCAGGGCACAACTGTCTATCTCCTCCGCTCCTTTCAGAGAGGAGAGAGAGCGAGAGCATTTATTCTCGGGGATATGAAACTAGAAATGATGAGACAAAGTGGATTGAGATGCAGGGCAGGGTGGGTGAAAGGCTCATACAAGGAATTAAACAGCATCTTTTTGGCGTGTAGGCAAAGGGTTGGTTTGTGGAGGGAATTGGGCAATCAAAATTAGTGTTTTCGTCTTTAAAGATAACAATTTTTATTTATAAAGCATTCCTTGCTGGCATGAGCTCAAAGCACTTACTGAATGCTGGCTAATTACCCCTCCCAACAAACAATCTGGAAGTTAGGGAAAGAGAGATAATTATCTGAGTTCACAGGTAGGGAGATGCAACCACAACAGAAACCATCCCCAGAGACCTGAGACCAGAAGGTGAGCCTCCGAAAGGCACCCTGCTGAGAAGGGATAGCCCACTCACTGGCCGGAACTCATGGGGAAACTACAGCTCCCGGCAGACACCAAGAGGGGACGGCCATGCCCCTGGTGCCCATTCCAGATCCCCAAATATGGAGAAGGACTGGGTTGGGGAGGAGGAACCGAATGTTCCCCCTTGAGAGAGGGAGAGAGGGGGAGGATGAGGTAACTTTGGAATATTTAACTCCATCACCTAATCGTCTGCCTGGGCTTGAAACACAGCAGGCAAAGCCATGGCCTTGGTAAATCCCTCCAGGTCTCCCCGTAGCTCAACAGAGTCCTGGTTCCTCCTACGATTAGGTGCGTGCTGTTCTAGGAGGTCAGAACCCTTTCTCTGAGTCCAATCAGCTTGGAAGGCGATGCTGGCAGCACTGGGAAAGGAATCTGAGTGGAGGAAGCTCTGCTGCCCCGGAGCGACATTCCAGGGGCTGGGCTGACCGCCCGAGCCCAGGATGAGACGGGAGGATGAGGGTTACTCCTTTCCTGCCCCAGAGGCAGCCGAGCCTGCCTGATGGGAAAGGCATGAAAGGACTCTTTCCCGTTCTGTCCACAAACATTTCTAAAAGCAACCCCGCTAGAGGACCTGGGCTGGACACTGGCAGGATGCTACGATGGGGGAGGGCAGCCACACGAGGGGATGGTGCCAGGCAGCGTATTATTTACTGCTGGGTTACATCCAGTACTGTCACCCACCACCCGCCACGTGCCAGGCACACAGAATCTGATGGGGAGGACCGCAAAGCAAAGCCTCTGCTCGTGTAGATTTATGTTCTGGGAGCTCTGGTTGTCTGGGGGACAAGTCGTCTGAGCAGAGGGAACAGCAGGTGCAGGGTTTTGAGATGGACTTGGTGAGGCTGAGAGGGACCCGGTGAGGGCAAGAGCAGGAAGAAACAAATCCGAGAACCAGGCCAGGTCGAGTCACGCCCGAAGAGCTGTCTGAGGATGAGAAGCACGCACTTCATTCCAGTCCTAACAGAGCTGTTGTTTTTGAGCACTGGTTTGATGTCATGTGATGTAAAGAGCCAGACAAGGGAAGAGACTTCCAAAAGAGTTTGGGGAGGCAAGGAGAGGTGTTCCTGAGTTGGGTGACAGGGAAGGATTCCCGGCAGAGGGGGGAGCTGAGTGTCAGCGGGCAAACGGGAGAACTCTCAGAGCGAGGCTGGCAAACTGATGTGCTCGGATCATCAGCCTGCCGCGGGTGTGGTCGTGTGGGGGTGGTAGATGGTGAGGCTGGAGGGAAGGAGACTTCCAGTCTCCATGTCCGAAGGTTCTGGAGCGCAGTGACCTCTATCCACGAGGTTTGAAACTGAGTAACCCGCAGTTACGGGGGACTTGAACCCAGGGTCTTTTAACTGAGGTTGCACCTGGTCTCAGGATTTAAGGAAGCTCAGGTTCTTGATGTCTCATTGCAGAAAGAATTTAGTAAGAGACAAGCTGCTAGGTAAGAAGTGGATTCATTTAGAGAGAAACACACTCCACAGACAGAGTGTGGGCCATCTCGGAAAGCAAGAGCAGCACCCAGGTACATAGGTTTCATAGGGCTGGGTAATTTCATATGCTGCTGGGTGGGAGGGGTATTCCAGCTATTTGGGGCAAGGGGTGGGGATTTCCAGGAATTGGGCCATGGGCCCACTTGCTGACTTTGCTGATGTATTAAAATGAGCTTACTCTGAGGCTCAAGGTCTAATGAAAGTCTCATCCACCATCCTGGACCCCGTTGGTTCTCTCCGTTTATGTCATGTCCTGCGGCTGTGTCAGTCTTCCAAAGGTTGTTCCCTGCCCATTTTCCTCCTGTGTCAGCTTCAGAGTCCAGTCCAGGACATGGTCTCCTCCAGGGACCAGCATCTGCTCCTAAAAGGCTCTTTGCTTTGAAGGCTTTTGAGTCCCACGTTGAAACTGAGGTGATTCCCGAGAGCACTCTTTACATCTGAAAGACAACCCCATCGAATGACACAAACCTCAGGGGGACGGTGCCCTCAGGGCCATGTCCAGCAGAGGGGCTGGTCCAAGTTCCAGGGGACAGAGCGTGGGAAAGCCATCAGGCAACACAGAGTGCTCAGGAGCTTCCTTCACCTCTAACACCGCAGCCCATCAGCGGCTGCAGAGAAAGCAGAGGAACGGGTGTGGAGGGTGTGAGAGAGGTGGCGAGGAAGATGGAAGACAGAGGGGCGGAAAGAGGAGGCCAGGGAGAAGCGTGAGAAGGGAGGAGAGCATGAGGATGGGGAGCAGGGGTTGGGGGTCTGCTGTGGTCCCAGAAACTGGGACCGCCATCCTCCTGATGGACCTGGTGCAGCGTTGCAGGTCTATGGGCCTCAGGACGGGCAGCTGGCTGTGAGCCACACTCTGCCCCGGGGGGCTCATGAATACCCTGCCCCCAAGACAGTCAGTCAGCCTACCCACCAGTTTCTGGAAAGCAGGACAAGCTGTACATCTAGAGTGAGCATCTCAGAGGAGACTCATCCCAACCGTTCCCTTTCTACTGGAGTCTGAGGGAACCTAGTAGGTCAGAATGCGCTCAGAGCACGTGGCAACCCCAGCCAGCCCGTGGCAGCAGGGCGCCTGTCCAATCAGGGGCAGCAGGATGTCCAGCGGCTTCCCTAGGGAGGGGTGTTGGGTCATTTTATTCTTAGAGATAGGATGAAGCAGTCACACAGATGTTGCTCACCTGCTGGAATGTGGGAGACCCAGCAGATCCACCGTGAGCCTGGATCCCAGCCACATCTCCTCCAGCCTGTCCCCTGCCTCCCAGCCACATGGTCATTGCATGTAGATCAGGGCTGCCCCTTACTTTCTGCCATGAGTGCAACCTGCGTCCAGGTTGAACCAACCTGCAGGCCCTGCCCCGCCCAGCGGATGCCCGCTGTCAAGAACAGTGAAGAAATCCTGACTTCAGTGTGGTGGCCTCAGTATATCGTAAGAAGCCTTGACCTTCTCCAGGGGACCCCAACCTCTGAAATCTAATGTCTGATGATCTGAGGTGAAGCTTATGTAATAATAGTAGAAATAAAGTACACAATACATGTAATGCACTTAAACCTTCTCCCCCACCCCCCACCTCCACTCCGTCCAGGGAAAAATTGTCTTCCAGGAAACCAGTCCTTGGTGACAGAAAAGTTGAGGACCTCTGGATCCAAGCTGTCTGAGTGGAGAAGCTCTGCCTTCTGCCTCACGATGGCCCAGCTGCCTCTGAACCGGGGCTCTGGGACCTGGTACAGTGATGACAGGGGCTTCTGTCCCTGGACACACGGACCTCACTGGAGACTCCTGACTGCCAGGTGGGTCCATCTCCTCTGCCGGAAGCAGCCTGCCACCCACTGTGGGCCCCCGCCCTGCCCACCTCCTCAGCCTCAGCACTCAGCTCCAAGTCCAGCTCCAAGACAGCTTCCTGATCAACCCTGCTCTCACCAACCTGGGCCTTGAGCAACTATTCCCTCTTCTTGTGGGCCTTTTCTTTCTCCTAGACAGGCTCACCTCTGGGGTTCAGCACAGTTGTCACTTCCTGGGGGAAGAATTTCCTGAATCCCTCCCCATCCCCAACCCCAGCCTCACGTAGATTCAGCAGACTTGCCTGTACTGTATCAGACTGACAAGCCATCTGCTTACTTCTGTGAGTCCCCCACAGAAACAATTAGCTCCAGGGTAGAGAGCCGGGTTGGTTTTTTGCTTTCTGTACTTCCAACTCCAAAGCCAGTGAGGTGGTCATGTTTGTAAAATGAATTAGTGGCCATGATCCATTGGCCTAATGAGTGAGGTCAAATAAAGAACTAAGGAAGAGGACTTCCCTCATGGTCCAGTGGCTAGGACTCTGCTCCCAGTGCAGGGGGCCCGGGTTCGATCTCTGGTCAGGGAATCAGATACCGCATCCCGCCACTAAGACCTGGGACAGTCAAATAAGTATTTTTGAAAAAAGAAGTAAGGCAGGATCTCAGTTTTCTAGGCCAACTAACACTTCACCTCCTGGAAACTTGACTTCACCCACATTCTCAGGGCTCCCTCTGTCTTCCCCGGCCCCACCCAGTCGTCACCCCCACGTCTTGCCACTCCCTACCCTGGGGCTCCCCTTCTAGACCTGTTTGGCTGAGAAAATACTAGTGACTTTCCAGATTATCAAAAAGAGGGCACCTGTGTCATGGATGTTGGCCTTCCTTTTCCCTTCTCCTGGGTAAGGAGAGTGTTGGCGGCTGGCACCCGCGCACCAAATCATGTCCTTTGGGCCTTGTCCCTGTCCACCCCAGATCCCCCTGAACCAAGGAGGGACCACAGAACCTCAGAGACGGTCTAGGGGTGAGCAATAAACCCTGTTTGAGAAATAAGATTTCTGCAAGCAAAGCACAGAGGTTGAGAAGATCAGCGTTCAGAGGGAGCGGGGGGACTCAGGCCAGTCCTGCCCTGGAGAGCTCTTACAGGCGGGGTTGGGATGGGGGTGGTCAAGGAAGCTAGCTTCCACACAAGCACCTCCTTGGTGTGCTCAAGATTTTCATAGACTTTCACAGCAGGAGTGTCTGTGTGGGGTCAGGGTTAGGGGTGAGTGCGAGACCCTGGGAAGCCCTTCCTGCCCTGGAATTCCACCCTCAGGGCTGGCTGTGGGCTTCCTGGGATCCTAGTTCCATTCATTGGAGCTATTTTTGGTCTGTGCAGTCAGTTGGCCAGTCTGGGGAGGCTGGGACAGCTCCCTCTGAAGGAGGTGAGTCACTGGGACAGGATGCCCTGAGGCATACCGCGAGCCCCCAGGATCCCAGAACAAGGACCCCAGTGTTCTGGCTGCCCTGGGTTCAAGGGTAACCTCTGTAGGACCTTCAGCAGAGTGTGGGCAGGGAGGACCCACAGATGAAATGGCAGAGGCTATGAACTTCTCCCCTTCCTGAGGCCAGACCATGACCCAAGCTTAACCGTGCCAGCCATCCTGTTGGGTGCTTATTGGTGTACCATTTGAGGCTCAGAAAGTTTAAGAAACTTGCCTGAGGTTGCCAGATAGCAAGTGCCAGAGTCAAAATTCAAACCGTAAACATTGACACCAAAGCTTCTGCACCACGCACTCCATGTCTGAGGGCCCCTCCCAGAGGGACAGAGCCAGTGACCCCGGGGAGGGAGGGGGACAGATGGAGGAGGACCGCGCTCTTGGTGCCCAGCAGTCACATACATCCAGAGGCCTCTGAGGACCGTCACACGAAGCCTAGGTGTCCTTTCTTCCAACCCCATCCCAGGGTGGGGTCATCTACAGGTCATCCCGCAGGGCCAGCACTCAGGAGCCTGGCAAGAGGAGAGTCTGGACTGGAGAGGTGATCCAAGGTGGTGGACAGAGCCCCGGTCTGGGTCAGGGTGTTCAGATTCTCTCTCTGGTTGATGTAGGACAAGTCACTCACCCTCTGATCTTCAGCTCCTTTATCAAAGAAAGGGAGTTGGGTGGGAGAGAGGAATTAGGATAAGTGAATGCCCACTGGGCTGACCTCACTAAGTTACAAAGAGGAAACAGAATCACTGATGTAATAGAACCTTGAATAAATAAGGCACCATATATAGTCATGTTATAAAAGTCCCAAGTTCTTATCTAGTTGACTCTCCAGCTCAGAGTGTTTTGTGGATATTTTTTGGTGCTCAACGGTTCAGCCCAAGTCCTGAGGCATCCTGGTTTCTCTCACTGGCCCAGTTGCCCAAGATCATCAAACTCTTGACCAGTTCTACACTTCTGACAGCCTCAGTTCCACGTCCTGAAAAGTGAAAGAGCCCAGCTCTTTTTCCCCACCAGACCTTTGCAGAGTCCATGTCCTCAGCTTGGAGTCCTTGGTCTGGTCACCCCCTGCCCCCCGCCCCCACCGCACATCCTCAGGGCACGCTCAGAGGCAACTGTTTGTTCACATGGCATCTTCGTAGCTAATGGCACACAGCAGTGCTCAGTGAACTTCAGGGATACAGGAACTTCCCTCTGATTTCTCTCCCATCCCATTGATGTTTTCATTGCTATGGAGATGGTAATCTCTCTGACCTCATCCTTTGGGAACTCGACAGAGATTAGCTAATTAGTAAGGCGGGAGGGGTGAAGCTCTCCTGGCACTTAGTGTAAAACAGGAACGGCAGGGAGACTGGGGTGGAACCCGGGACCTTCTCCGAGCATCGCCATAGCCAGCTGCCGCAGCGCTACCCAGACGTACCATGGAAGACCTGACCTTTGATGCCCATTGCTCTGGGACCCTCCTCTCTTCTCTTGGCGGGCACTCCCTGGCGTCCATTCTGGAGGCTGACCCCCGTCTCCCCTGGATAGTGCCGCTCCCTCAGGAGACGCTTCCTGCAGCTGTGCAACAGCTGGACCTCCGGAAGCCCTGCAGGGCCCAGAGGCCACAGTCACCTGCTGCCAAAGTCCTGCCTTCCCGATTCCCAGATCAGATGAGCGGGGTGGGGTGTGAAGAGGGGCAGTTTACTCCACCACCATTCCCTCCCAGGAGATAGAAAAGTGGAGTGGAATGGCCACTGGCTGTGAATAACCCAGAGCAAAAACCCATGCCAGCTGGCGACCATTGGAAGAAAAGCAGCAAATTCATGAATTACCCTATTTACACCAGAAATAAACTAATAGTTGGGACCTTTGCTGGAGAGATTGTGCTGGAAATAAAGGCCAGTCACGAAGACAAATGGGTGAAGCTGGTTTCCGCCCGGCCTCTGGCGTTGGTGGCTCTGGCATTGAGCTTCTAAGGCTCCCTCCATGGAGGCTTGCTGGCCTCAGCATCAGACAGACCAACTGTTCACAGACCCGGGACCACGAGACTGATTCGGAGGATTGTGACTAGAATCTTCTTATTTAAGAAACAGAATAGAAACAAAACATCAATACTTCACATGTAAGAAGGGCAGGTTGGGGGTAAAATGTTTATTTTATTAGTCTGTGTATAATTATAAATAATATATGCTAAAAATATAACATTTCAGTAACATAATACACATATGTGTGCTAGGTCATGACACCAAATAAACTTATTACCATGAGGACTTCCCTGGTGGTCCAGTGGTTAAGACTTTACCTTTCAGCGCAGACAGTATGGGTTCAATCCTTGGTCAGGCAACTAAGATTCCACATGATACGTGGTGGAAAAAAAAAAAAAAAAAACCACAACCATAACATAAAACAGAAGCAATATTGCATTATGGATCATGATTGAAAGTTTCAAAGAGATAAGAGCATATACAAAGGAATGCTATTCAGCCTTAAAAGGAAAAGAAAGTATGAGGCAGGCTACAACGTGGATGGACTTTGAGGACATTGTGCTCGGTGAAATGAGCCAGTGACAAAGGGCAGACACTGTGTGACTCCATTTATGTGAGGAGCTGAAATGGTCACATTCAGACAGACTGAATGCAGAGAGGTGGTCGCTGGGGTCCAGGTGGTGGGGGGCGGGGAGTCTGTGTTCAGTGGGGACAGAGCTTCAGTTCTGAAGATGAAGCATCCGGTGGACAGCCACAGCCACAGGGCAGCAGCATACTCAGGGTTCTCAGTATACCTCCAGTGACGACGCAGGTAGAATTTAAGTTTCGTGTGTTTCATCCTTTTTAAGATGCTGTAGGGGAAAAGACCCTGATGCTGGGAAAGATTGAAGGCAGGAGAAGGGAATGACAGAGGATGAGATGGTTGGATGGCATCACTGACTTAATGGAGATGAGTTTGAGTAAACTCTAGGAGTTGGTGATGGACAGGGAGGCTTGGCGTGCTGTGGTCCATGGGGTCGCAAAGAGTCGGACACGACGGAGCAACTGAACTGAACTGAGGGGAGGCCTTCTGGGTCGTCACTGTTGGAGACCGTCACCCCACTCTCTTTCAGCTCCCTTTCTCAAGGGCCATCCCCAGAAAATGGTCACCATGCACCGTTGCGCCTCTGCTTCTGACTTTCTCTTCTCTGATTCCCGCTGCGCCGACGCCCCCATCTCTTCGCATTGCCCCTGGCCCCCAGCTCTTTTCTTCTACCCGGCTGCACCGCCTCTGTCCTGGGAGCCTTGCCTCCTCCACCCTCCCCTTGGCTGCACCGGGAGTGAAATATCCGCATTTCTTTCGAAGTCCGCAGTGACTCTCTGTTCCTCTAGAGGGGAAGCCCTTAGCCGGGCAGACGGCTAACCTTCACACCCCGCAATTGTCCTTTAATTGTACTTATAGTTCCCCAAGTCCACCCAGCTTTCATCTGCTCTGAGTCTTGGCCTGGGGTCTCCCCTTCCTCACTCTAGTATGCGGACCTAACTCCTATTGCCCGAGCCTGGACGGGCACCCAGCCCCTCTGGGCCGTGTCCCTCCCTCTGCCCTTCAGGGAGATCCTGGGCACCGTCGGCCTGATGAGAACTCTCACCACGCTGCACCCCTGCTCCACCTCCTGCTATGCCCTGCTGTGTCCCCGTAACTAACTGCCCCTCAGCAGGCACTCTCTGAGCTGAGGGGTGACGAGGTAGATAGACAGGAGGACGTTCGAACGGATGGATTTCACAGGTTTTGAGATTCAAACCTGGGAATCAGTATCGGTCAACACTGACAGCTGGAAATACCTTTGATCAAGGCCTAATGAACAATTTATCCAAATTAATAACAGTTGCTATATTTGCATAGCATTGAACATTCTGTAGAACATTGTCTTTTTTTTCTCTTGACACTCTTAATAACTTAATTAAGAAGGAAGGCTTTTGTCATCACATAAGACCCTGTGAAGAGGCTGTGGGTTGTCCGAGGTCAGCAGGTTAGTAAACGGCAGAGTCTAGGACAGGACTCACATTCCTCCCACTCACCAGGATGCCTTTAACCATCAGAAATGAAGAGCCAGAGTAAATGGCCCTAAAATCAGGACCTTTCAGAAAACAGGGAGGGTACATTTTCTGGCTTCCACAGGATCTTACTAAGGTCCTAGCTCACATGTACTTAGTAATCACAGTCCAGCTCCACTCTCGAAAACCATCCCTGCTGTGTCTTGCCTTTTCTACATTTACAGAAAAAGAAACAAAACCAATCCCTCTAAAGACCAATGTCTAACGATGTACTGGGATTTTTCCCTTGTATTCACTCTATGTCTCTGCAATCCAAAATCAAGCCCAGTTTCTTGTATTTGATCCTCAGCAGTGAGAATGTTATTTATATCCCATCTGTATCCAAAAAGGTACAAGAAAGAGAAGAGTTAAGCACTCGTCCCCACAAAATAACCTCTTCCTCTGCCCTTCCTAGTCCAAGGTCAACAGTTCTAACTGCATTCTGCAAAGGATCTGTTTTCCAGTCATTTTATTTGTTCTTATGCGGACCCTATCTAATTGTTCCCAGTCTCTTTCTTACTTTTAAAGCCAACACTGGACATAGGTCACTAGTAAGATTCTAGTTAAAGCCAAGAACTGTGGGAGGGTAACTTCAAGGAAGTTGGGCTAATTCAGGGAATCTCAGGGACATAAATCCAGCTATCGTGCACATGTGGCAAGGTCTATACAGGGTGAAAGAAAGAGTCTGCGAAAAGCCCTGCCTCTTGCTGCACACGCACCACCACCCTCCCCTTCCCATGCACGCAAGCAGCGCCGCCGCTGTCCTCCCATCTGACCCAGTCAGTTAAGTCGTTTACAAAATAAAAGTGACCAAATCCAGAAGCTCTGATTTTAGGGACACTGAGAAGGCCTCGGTCTTTGTGATCACAAGCCCTGGAGTTTTCAGAATTATCTTGACTTCAGAAAGACCATTAAAAAATCCTAGAAGTTGCAACGTTTCTTTTTTTTTGAACTGGCTATATTTTATTTATTATTGTTTTAATTGGAATATAATCACTTTACAATGTTGTGCGGTACAACTCGAATCAACTGTATGCGTACACATATCATCTCCCTCTTAAGCCTCCCACCTGGGCAACCCATCTGCCTCTAGGTCATCACAGAGCACCAAGCTGAGTTCCGTGTGCCCTACAGCAGCTTCCCACCAGCTATTTCACACGTGGTTATGTATATATGTCAATGCTGCTCTCGATTCGTCCCACCCTCTCCTTCCCCCGCTGTGTCCACAAGTCCATTCTCCATGTCTGGATCTCTATTCCTGCCCTGCAAATAGGTTCATCAGTACCATTGTTCTAGACTCCATACATATGCATTAATATACACTCTTATGTTTTTCTCTTTCTTTCATTGCACTCCGTATGCCAGACTCTAGGTTCATCCAGTTCACTACAAATGACCCAATTTTGTTCCTTTTTATGGCTGAGTCTATGTTTCTATTTCTAAAGCATACCCAAGAAGAAGCTTCTTACATCTAAAATTGATTATAAACAAGATCTTTTGGCAGACAGTTTGTCCATATTTTTTTACTTAAAAAGCTTGTCAATAAATAAATCCAAGTTTCTCAGAAAGCAGTCTCCTCATGCTTGGCTCAGGCTACAATTCCACGACTAGATCTTCATGGCTTTTTATCAGAAGGCATTGTTGGGGCTATTAGTAAGCAAATATCCC